AAATTCTGACACATACTATAACATGAATGACCTTGAAGACATTATCCTGGGTGAAAAAAGCCAGTCACAAAAGGATAAATACTGTAACTGCATGATTCCACTTATGAGGTACCTAGAGGGGTCAAACTCTTGGGAAAGTAGAATGGTGGCTGTCAGGGGCTGGGCAAAGAAGACGATGGGGAGTTATTTAATGGGTATAGAGTTTCATTTTGTGAAGATGAGAAAGTTCTGGAGATAAATGATGGTGATAATTGCACAACAATGTAAATGTATGTAATGCCACTGAATTGTACACTTAAAATAGTTAAAATGTTCAGTTTACATTATGCACACTTTAGCACAATAATTTTTTTTAAAAGGATGCAGCAAGTGTGATGGGCTCTCACTCTAAGTTACAGAAAGAGCATGGTTCCCATCTGGATGCCCTCTCTCCCTTGCTCTGAACTAACAACCAGCTGCCCATGTTGTTAGCCGCCCTATGGAAGCGTCAAGGAATTGGCCTCTGGCCAACAGCCAGAAAGGACCTGAGACCTGTCAATAATCACATGAGTGAGCTTGAAAGCACCCCAGAAGGCTGTTCCTTTGTGCCTCTTTTACTTGAGTCACGGGATGAATGCAGCCCCAGAAGATACTTGGATTGCTGCTTTACGAAGGACTCTGAGCCAAAAGCACCCAGTTAAGCTGCACCCCAAAGAAACTGACTCACAGCAACTGTGAGATAATAATGTTACTGTGTTAAGCCACTAAGTTTCAGGGTAGTTTGTTATACAGTAATAGATAATAATATATATAGTAATTTGACTAAACATTGCTCAGAGAATGTGCTGCTAAGTCCAAAACAATATTGCAAATTCTTTTTCATTTTTAAATTATTTTTATTCCCTTCATGATTTTTTATAATATGAACATACAGAAGCGCAAATTCTATTTCTGAGTATATACCCAAGGAAAAAAAAAGTACGCAGATATGCCCAAAGATATGTACAAGAGTGTTCATAGCAACTTTATCATTATTTTTTGAAAGGGTCTTAAGGATACATACTGAAATACTTACAAATAAGATACATGATGTCTAGAATTTGCTTTAAAATAACACAGGAGTGGGAGAAAAGTTGGTGGGGTATAGATAAACAATGTGGGTATGACTTGATAATTACTGAATCTGTGTCTGAATACAAAGCGATTGGTTATACCAGTCCGTTTATTTCTGCATATGTTTCTCATTTTCCATAATAAAAATTGTAAATAAATAAGACAAAACATTTCTTTTACAGACACAAGAAAAAAAAATCCTGAAATAAAAAGAAGATCCTCTTTCCAAGACCTTAGAAAAGAAACTGTTCCGGGTAATAATGAGGTCTAAGGCAAGAAGGGATTGAAGTGAGAAGTAAGAGAACTTTGAGGCTCCAGTCCTGGTAACCTAAGGCTGGCCTTAACTACCTGCCAAAGAATCACAACCTTCTCCCAAATTTGTTTCAAAAAGTATCTGCATTTCTTTTTTTTTTTTTTTTTTTTTGAGATCGAGTCTCACTCTGTCACCCAGGCTGGAGTGCAGTGGTACAATTTCGGTTCACTGCAACTTCCACCTCCTAGGCTCAAGCAATTCTCCTGCCTTAGCCTCCCCAGTAGCTGGGACTACAGGCACGTGACACCACACCTGGCTAATTTTTTGCATTTTTAGTAGAGAGGGGGTTTCACCGTGTTAGCCAAGATGATCTCGATTTCCTGACCTCATGATCAGCCTGCCTCGGCCTCCCAAAGTGCTGGGATTACAGGCATGAGCCACCACGCCCAGCCTGTATTTCTTTTTAAGAGACAGGGTCTTGCTCTGTCACCCTGGCTGGAATGCAGTGACGCAATCATAGCTTACTGCAACCTGAACCTCTTGGGCTCAAGCAATCCTCCCACCTTAGCCTCCCAAGTATCTGGGACTAAAGGTGTATAACAATCACACTTGGTTGATTTTTAAATTTTCTGTAGAGATGGGGTCTTGCTATGTTGCCCAGGCTGGTCTCAAAACTCCTGGCCTCAGGTCATCATCCCACCTGGGCCTCCCAAAGCACTGGGAACACAGGCATGAGCCATCACACTTAGCTTCAAAAGGTATCTGTGTTTTTATAAAGGGTCCCAGAATTAGAATCACTGATCTAAGATGTAGTGACCCTGGAAAATTGCTAACGTGAAAATAATGGATGCTAGACACGTTAAGGAAGCATAATGAGAGCCACTAATATGACATAGGGGTGGACAGAAAGAGACTGTCTGAGTGAAATGAAGGAAAGTCCTTGAGGTCAGTAGGAGAAAAGGATAAAAATGGGCAAAGAAAGAGAATGAAAGACACCAACTTCAAAACAGAAAGATTAACTGAAAAGTGTTCTGACAGTGGAGACCTTATTCTTGCCCCACAATTCAACAAAAATAGACCTAAAGTGTGTCTATCAGATAGGTTAGGGAAGAAAGCATAACCTCAAAAAAAAAACAAAAATCTATCAATTTGTTCATTATAGTTCATAAAGTGTTGGGATTATGAAAGCACCAAAAATCCTTACAAATCATTTAGTCTAATTCACTCAATTCAGATGAGAAAACTGGGTCTACCAAGGCTAATTAACCGGCATTCAAGAAAACTATGCAATTAATGATTAGAACTAGAGCTAAAATGTACCCCAATTTTCACTCTATCTACCTGCCTTTCATCTTTATCTAATACCACAGTTTCCATTTGGTAACTTACTTCTTTATTATGCTAAATGTCATTATATATTTTCATTCTTAAACAGTAGGCATTGGTTGACTGGCTCAAAATGAGTCTATTTCAATCATTTTCTTTTAAAGGTCTTCCATTTCTGCTCAATTTTACTCTCCCCTCACCAACCAACCCTATGTGTTCTGAGTAAATCTCAGAGTTGTCTAGAAAACTTGTTGGCTAACTGACATCTATGCTTCCAAAAAAAAGTCAGAATATGAAAAGGCACACATAGTGCTATGCTATAAAAAGAAGAGCTGGCATTGCACACCTCTCTTATCATCTCCATGAATGTATACATAATTTACAATTGCCAGGAAGTAGGAGGATATTCTTCAACAAATGGGCTCAAAATCCCTAAATAGGTAAGACAGTAACAAGATAAATTATCTCAGCCTTACAATAAGGGACTACAGAGTACAAATAAGGCACATAAAGTGCACAGGCATAAAGTTGTTCACATGTGTTTATATTCTTTATAAACATGCATGTTCTGTGCACAGAATGTAATATGTAAAAAATGTTTTCAGGTCTCAAAAAATCTGATGTTTTTGCTACTTTTATATTTGATTTAGAAAAAATACAAAAAGTGCAGGTATTAACTAATATATAAAAAAGGACAGAAGGCCTAGAAAAGAGGAACTATACATGTCCTTACCACTTAGAAATGGTTGTTGAGGCACAGAGTTTGTAGAAAAGACACCAAGTTTGGAAAGGATCCATCTAGAAGCTTTTTCAATCTGGAGCTTGTACTTTACAGGCACTCAAGTGGGCACACTGGTGCAAAGCAGTAGTGAGTGAGTCACCGTGTGTGAAATAGAATATGGAATGTTCTAGGCTGGAAGATTGAAAAATAGGAAATATGGTTGGTTATTAGTAACAGCCATGCTTACAACATCTTAACATTTTAGCAGCTTCCATATATCACTAATCAAAAGTCTGCAAGTTCCTCAAAGGTTAAACATGACCCAGCAATTCCACACTCAGGTATATATCCCAGAGAAATGAAAACATACCCACACAAAAATACGCATACAAATGTTCATAGTAGCATTATTTGTAATGGTCAAAAGGCAGAAACAACCTAAATGTCATCAATTGATGAATGGATAAATAAAATGTGGTATATCCACAATGGAATATTATCCTGCCACAAAAAGGAATAAAGTACTGACACATGCTACGACGTGGATGAATCTTAAAAACATTATGCTAACTGAAAGAAGCCACTCACAAAAGGCCACATATTATATGATTCCATTTATATGAAATGTCCATAATAGACAATTCTAAGAAAGAGAAAACAGGTAAGTGGTTGCCTAGGGCCAGGAGACAAAAGATAGGTGTGACTATTAATGGGTAGAGGGTTTCTTTCAGAGGGTGATGAAAATGTTCTAAAACTCTATTATAGTAATGGTTGCACAATTCTATGAATATAAAAAAGGCTCTAATTGTACACTTTATTTATTTGAAAACAGGTTTGACTCTGTCACCTAGGCTGGAGTGCAGTGGTGCAATTATAGCTCGCTGTAGCCTCAAACTCCTGTGTTCAACCAATCCTCCTGCCTCAGCCTCCAGAGTACCTAGAAGTACAGGAGCATGCCACCATGTCCGACTAATTTTTTAATTTTTTGTAGAGATAGGGTCTTGCTGTGTTGCCCAGACCAGTCTCTATTTCCTGGCCTCAAGTGTTCCTCCTCCCTCACCTTCCAAAGTACTGGGATTTCAGGCATGAGCTACCACGCATAGCCTTAAATTGCACACTTTAAATTGGTGACTTCAACAGCATGTGAATTATATCTCAATAAAGCTGCTACTTTTAAAAAACTACAGTCTATAACTTCCTAACTACTAACCAATATCTGACATATTATTCTTTCACCTTATAACTCCATATAATGAGAAAAGCATTGAATTCAGTGATAAAACCAGATTATTGGCAATCCTAAAACCATAGTCAAGTAACAAGTTCTGAGCTTCAATTTCCTTGTAGGGGAAAGGGGAGTCCTCTTTGGTACACCACCTCATTTTTCTCCCAATAACACAGTAGTATCCTAGAGTAAATTGTGTTTATTCTAAAATCAGCTATGTCTGTTGTATTTACTATAATTACATAGTTTAGTTGCATATTACATCAAAAATGAGTGCAAAAATAAAATGTTTTGTTGCTAAACATTAGGTCGTGTAATTCAATTAAGGGAAGCCACTTTAAAAACATTTTAAAGAAAATGTCCTGGCTATGCATCACAAGACTGGTGAAATATAAGCATTCATACACTTATAAAATATTTAAGGTATGTATCTTTCTTTCTCATTTTAAACAATATTCTATTCAGCCAACCCAACTGCAGGTATATTATATAGCCAATATTGTTTAAGAGAGCTTCTACTCTATATGTTATTTGTATAAAAGACGAACGTAAGTACACTACTATTATTCCACGTCACACTCTAAAGTGTGAAAATTGACCCTATTAAATTTGAATTCGCTCTTACAGAGGTTGAAACTTGTCTACTCTTCAAGTCTCCAGGCCCACTACAGTCCCATACTCTCTACAGATATCTTCATCTGCTAAACTGAAAAAGGTTGCCCAACGTCAACCCTTCAAATTCAAGACTGCTAAAGTCCCTCCTTCTTGTGCTCATAGACTCTATGTGTGAAGGCATTTTTTTTTTTCAAGTATCTCTCAGAATCCTCCCTTTTCAAAGCTAATCCTACAACTGACCTACATATTCAGGTGACCATTATGCTCCCCCAACACACAAAAAAAGTGTTACTTACACTCATGCTCCATAGACTCCTCCCTTCCACTTCACTTCCACTACATTTGTGCTTCTTCCTTCTCACCTCTCAACTTACTCCTCAACTACCAGCCATTTGCACTCTGACGCCAACTACTTCCTAATGACTGCAAAAGAATTCCAAGTGGTCACTCTAACCGATCTTTGGCCTCCCCTCTCTCACTACTCCAATGCACCTCAGATATTGCTTCCTAGCGCATAACTCTGATTACCCCAGGCTTGGTAATTCAATGGTGTCTCCCAATGCCTACAGAAAATTGTTCAGGAATTCATTAACCTCATCAAGATTGTAATGGAAGAGACTAAATTGCCAGCCCATCTCCCGAATGTTATCCAGACTTCAGTCAGGCTGAACTCTTTGCTCTGTGCAAATATATCCCATGCCTTCCTACACACAGATCACACAGATCTAACGCATGCTTTATTCCATCTGGAATGCCCTCCCTTCGTTTCTATGTATTGAAATTCCTCTAAAATCATTTTTAAAGTAGAAAGTCACTCAGCACTCAGAGCCTCAGATTTCTCAACTACAAAATGAGAATAACACCTTCAAGGCTGCTATATAAAGATGACAAACCATTATTAGTATCAAGTATTGTTAAGCATAAACTTAGAATAATTGCTGGTAGATAATACTCAACAAATGTTATTACTCTTGTTCACTAAAGACAATTAAGTGCCCAATAAATATACTATAAATTGACAAAACAAAACAATAGAAATATCTTTTCCAGCCACACTATGCTCTTTGCTCACCAATCAACAGTTTAAGGTTTGACACCTCTGGAAGTTAAGATGATAAAAATTCCTAACAACATTTTCATTTTTTGGAACTCTCACATAGATTTATGATGCAAAAACAACCACCCTCTATTTCATGATTTCGTCAGGAACAACTTGATTCACTGATATCTACCAAAATGGGAAGAGTGGAGCAAGGTAATAATTTTATCACTTACTTTATTAAAAATTGCACTAAAGGCCGGGTGTGGTGGCTCACGCCTGTAATCCCACCCAGGAGGCCAAGGTGGGCAGATCACGAGGTCAGGAGATCGAGACCATCCTGGCCAACATGGTGAAACCCCATCCCTACTAAAAATACAAAAATTAGCTGGGTGTGGTGGTGTGTACCTGTAATCCCAGCTACTCAGGAGGCTGCGGCAGGAGAATTGCTTGAACCCAGGAGGCCGAGATTGGAGTGAGCCGAGATTGCGTCACTGCACTCCAGCCTGGTGACAAAGCGAGACTCTGTCTCAAAAAAAGAAAACAAGAAGCAGTAAAACACATATAATTTACCATCTTAACCATTTTAAAATGTACATTAAGGCTGGGCACGGTGGCTCACACCTGTAATCCCAGCACTTTGGGAGGCCAAGGTGGGGAGATCAGGAGGTCAGAAGTTCAAGACCAGCCCGACCAACATGACAAAACCCCATCTCTACTAAAAATACAAAAAATTAGACAGGTGTGGTGGCACGCACCTGTATTCCCAGCTACTCAGGGAGTAGCTGAGGCAGGAGAACTGCTTGAACCTGGGAGGTGAAGGTTGCAGTAAGCCGAGATCACGCCACTTCACTCCAGGCCTGGGCAACAGAGCAAGACTCCATCTCAAAAAATAAAATAAATAAATAAATTAAAATGAAAAAAGTGTACATTAAATACATGCACACTGTTGGGCAACCATAACTACCATCCATCTCCAGAACTCTTTTCATCTTACAAAAGTGCAACTCTATACCCATTACGGTCAACCCCATTCTCTCTGTCACAGTCTGATAGTCACCATTCTACTTTCTGTCTCTATCGGCCTGACTAAGTAAAATCATACAATATTTGTTCTTTTGTAACTGGCTTATTTCACTAAGTGTGATGTCCTCAAGAGTCATCTATGTCGTTATTTACTGTTTCCGTAAGAACTCCAAAATCACACAGGGACATAGTTTAAACATACTCTAGCTAAGGTAGATTCTATGGCACTACACCACAGATTTGGAAGATTCAAATTACAGAAAGAAAGGGAAAGGGAAAATAGCATGTACTTGATAATTAGGTATGTTGCCAGTTACTCTGCTAGGTGCATTTCACACAGAACCTAATTAAGTCCAAACAACTCTAAGGAGGTAGATGATTATCATTCCCAACTGACAAATGAGAAAAAGGTTCAGAAGAACACACAATAGCAAGCAGGCCTCCCATGTCACTATCCTATTTCCATTTTGTTTTCATTATAGAACTCATCACTAATATATGCTTGGCTTTATATACTTATTTAATTCCTTATTGCCTTTCTCCCTACCTAGAACATAAGCACTATGGCCACTGTATCCTCTAACCAGCTCAGAATCAGAGAGGTAGAGAGTGGAGGGGCAGGAATGGGGAAGTACAAAACAAGTAATGTCATAAGGGAAATGTGCCACACGTGCACACTATATGCAGATTTTTTTTTTTTTTTTAAATGGTTGAGACTGGCTGGATATGGTGGCTTACACCTGTAATCCCAGTACTTTGGGAGGCCAAAGCAGGAGGATCACTTGAGCCCAAGAGTTTGAGACCAGCTTGGCAACACAGGAAGACCCCATCTCTATAAGAAATAAAATAAATTAAAAAAATAAAAGGTTGAAGTCATTATACTAGTGGAAGGGTCACATTTTTACAACAAAATTGTGTCTATGATATACACAGCTTAAAACTTGAACATCTTATCATCTCTAGCTGTTCTAAGATTCTTGCCTCCACATGTACACTTGAGACGGAGTGTCACTCTGTCACCCAGGCTGGAGGGCTATGGCATGATCACAGCTCACTGCAACTCCTGCCTCCCTGGTTCAAGCAATTCTCTGTCTCAGCCTCTCGAGTAGTTGGGATTACAAGCACCTGCCACCACACCCAGCTAATTTATGTGTCTTAGTAGAGATGAGGTTTCACCATGTTGGCCAGGCTGGTCGAACTCCTGACCTCAGGTGATCCGCCCACCTCAGCCTCCCAAAATGCTCGGATTACAGGAGAGCCACTACACCTAGCCCACATGTACGTTTC